TTTGATATGAGGAATACAAGTAAGCTCAGAGTCAAAAAGAACCCCCAGGCTTTATCTTGATGCATGCTCAATAATCCAGGTAGAAAAATCAAAAAAAGTTCAATCTGGTCCTCTGGATATTCAAAAAAACAAAAGCAAAACAAAGCAAAAAAAATTCTAGAAACGTTTCGTCTCTCATCCAAGAGACTTCCTCAGTCTGAGGTGCTGTTTTCAGCTCAGTCTCTTAAATAGCCCCTTCTTAGAGTGGATCAACCAGTTTGCTGCTGACAACCAAAACCAACTGATCACATGCTCAAGCAGGACCATCAGCCTAACAATGGGTCATTAGCACACTGATGGCTGTTTACTACTCACAGAGGGCTGAGTGATACTAGCAATCACAGCATTGTAAGAGGGGGACAGTTGAACCCGGAGGCCTCCACCCCTGTTTAATGATGGACGATTTCTTTTCACAAAGATGGCCTCCTTTACTCCTCTCTCAAACCATCGTTCCTCTCTGTCCAGGATGTGAACATCTTCATCCTTGAAAGAGTGACTGCTGGCCTGGAGATGAGTGTAGACCGCAGAATCCTGGCCTGATGATGTTGATCTTATGTGCTGGGCCATCCTTTTGGCCAGTGGCTGTTTAGTTTCCCCGATGTAAGACTGATCACAGCCCTCCTGACACTGAACAGCATACACAACATTACTCTGTTTGTGCCGGGGGACTGGATCTTTGGGATGAACCAGTCTTTGCCGTAATGTATTTTGGGGTTTAAAAGCCACTGGGACGTTATGTTTAGAAAATAAATGTCTCAGTTTCTCTGATACCCCCTCAACATACGGAATGACCACTGGTCTGGGTCTGGGTTCCTCCTTTTCACCTGATGGCTGACTGGAGTCCTGTTTGGGTTTCTTCTCTGCTTTCAGGAAGGCCCAGTTAGGATATCCACATTGCTCTAGAGCCTGTTTTGTGTAGGATTTCTCCTTCTGCCTGGCTCCCGAGCTAGTGGGGATGCTGTCTGCTCTGTGATACAGAGTCCTGATGACTCCTAACTTGTGCTCCAAAGGGTGATGGGAGTCAAACTGCAAATACTGGTCTGTGTGGGTGGGTTTGCGGTACACCTCGGTTTGCAAATGTCCTCTATCCGAGACTGAGACCTCACAGTCCAAGAAAGCCAACTTGCCATTTTTTACATCTTCTCGTGTGAACTTGATGTATTTATCCACAGAGTTGATGTGGTCAGTAAAATGGTGGACTTCCTGAGATTTAATTTTAACCCAGGTGTCGTCAACATACCTGAACCAATGACTTGGTGGTGTCCCTGAAAAGGACGTCAAGGCTCTCTTTTCTACCTCCTCCATGTACAGGTTGGCAACAATAGGAGAAACTGGAGACCCCATAGCACACCCATGTTTCTGCCTATAATATTGCTCCCCATATGTGAAGTAGGTTGACTGCAGGCACAGTTTCAAGAGTTGACACAGTTGTTCTGTGGAAAGCGTGGTCCTGCTGCTCAGAGTGGTGTCTGATTTTAATCTTAAACTGACCACCTCTACTGCATCATCAACAGGAATGCACGTAAAGAGTGATGTGACATCAAAAGAGACCATTGTTTCATCAGTCTCCATGATGACATCCCTCACCTTATCCACAAAGTCCATGGTGTTCTGTATGTGGTGTTCTGAGCTGCCAACTAAAGGGATGAGTACAGACGCCAGATATTTGGAAACATTGTAAGTGACAGAGTTAATCATGCTAACAATTGGTCTTAAAGGTACACCTTGTTTGTGGATTTTAGGTAAACCATACAGACTAGGTGTGGCCTCCCCTGGGTACAGTCTGTGGTACAGAATACGGTCAATAGCCTTGTCCTGCTCCAAATTTTTCAGGCAATCTATTAACTTCTTCTTGTAACCACTTCCTGGATCTCTTTTCAGAGGTTCATAAGTGGTTAAGTCACTAAGGAGTGTCATAACTTTCTCATGATAGTCTTTCTGGTTCAAAATCACTGTGCACCTTCCTTTGTCTGCTGGGAGAATGATGATGTTTTTGTCCTTGCTAAGAGTGGTGAGTGCATCCCTCTCCTCTCTACTGATGTTGGAAGGTGGTGGTTTGGCATTGCTGAGGCAGGATGAAACTTTGATTCTGAGCTGTTCTGCTTCACCCTCTTTCATTTTGTTGTTGCGGATGGCTGATTCTGTGGCTGTGATCATCTCCACCAGAGGAATTCTACTTGGTGCAACCGCAAAGTTCAGTCCCCTGGCAAGAATCTCTGTCTCCGGCTGGTTGAGCTGTCTGTCAGATAAATTCTTCACCCACTTTTCTGTCTCCCTGGCATGTAATTGACTACTGGAGTGTTGTCCTACACTGAATGTGTTGTTATTGGAATAGTGATGGTGTTGATGAGTTATTAGTAAGTTAAACTTATTTTGTTGTCGAGTCTTGGACTTGACATGCTGTGCTAAGCGTCCCTGATCTGTACAGTCCAACACTTGCTGAAGTGTGGTCTGATCTAGACACATAGTTAGTTTCTGTTTAATGTGCTCTTCTTTGGCCTTCAAGGCCTCAATATTAAAATTGGTCTGTCTCACCCGTTCATTCAGCAGCTGGGTTTGTGCCTTCTGAAGGATCTTGCTTGCCCGGTGCCCGCTGACCAATGATTTTAGTTCCAGGCTCTGGGGGTAAGAACCCCCAGGCTTCTTACTTTTTTGGAACATTTTAAAAACAAAGTTTGTAATTTCCGAATTGTATTTTCTTTCTGAAACTTCTGTTTTGTCCTGGTTTAGCTGGATAAAGTTCTGCGACATCCAGGTCTTTATGTCTGAAATGCAATTAAAAAGTGCAGTGATTGGCCAGGTGTCATCATGAGATAATGAGATGTATAGCTGTGTGTCATCAGCATAACTGTGGAAACTTATACCATGGCTCCTAATGATCCTACCAAGCTGCAACATGTACAAATTAAAAAGTAGGGGGCCTAAAATAGAGCCTTGAGAGATGCCATAGTTAGCATCATGGATCTGTGAGGAGCATTAGTCCATACTTACCATAAGGTTCTATCTGTGAGATAGGAGTTGAACCACAGAAGATCAGTACCAAAAAGACTGACCAGGTGTTGTAATCTATTTACAATGGGATTATAGTGCTGAATGGGATTTACCTGTCTAAATAAAGGTTGAATGAATTTAAGACATTTTTTTGATCTACTATATAAAAGGCTGCAATCAGATACAATAGCACAAGGACTGATAGATTGTGTGAATCCAGATTACACCTTAAATCATTTACAATTATTAATATGGCTGTTTCTGTACTGTGATTAGTCATAAAACCAGATTGATACTTTTCTAAAATACCAGCATAATTAAAAATAAATAAATAAAAACAAGCTTTTCTAAGATTTTGCTGAAGAATAGTAAGTTGGATACAGGTCTATAATTATTAAAAAACACAAGGATCTATATGACTTTTCTTTGGAAGAGGCTCCACCACAGCCGTTTTAAAGGCAACGGGGAAGACACCCATCCGAAGAGAGCAATTTACAATGTTTAAAATTTCATGCTCACTCTAAAAAGTCATTCATAGGCTTAATAAATGTCACTATATTTATAAGTTAAATGACCTTAATGAAATTTCTGAAAATCACATAAATGATTATTTAAATTGGGTATACTGAAATAAATGTTTAAAAATTGAACATAAGTTTTTGTTTTAGATTAAGGTCTTTTTTTATATATATATTTAAGAGGAAAATCTTAAGTAAATAGTTCACAAAATATCTTTCTTACATGCACTTAATAGTTTGTTTGAAATTGAAATAGCAAATTTAGAAAATAATTTGAGCATTTGATTATATATATTTTTTATATATACAAAAACTCACACACATCAATCTTAAGACTAAAATTTAACTGATAAAATGTTAATTGGGAATGTTAGACTTTGAATGTCAAGCCAGTCTAAAATTTTTTTTGGATTTGGATCATGATAATTGTCTCACCATAAACAAAATATTAACCATGACTTACAAGGTAGAGGATGATTCTCAGCCTAATCATTTTGTTTAAATTTTTTTGTTTCTTTGAATTTAAAACGTCATTTCAAGCATTTTTTTTCAGGGCTATATTATTATGTTTCTTTATTTTTTCATTTCCTCAGTTTTCATTTTTTTCTGAATTAGCCAAACAATGAGTTCCCTTGAGCTCAATTTCTTGTTCATAACACAGGTCTATATAGGTATATTTCCATAAGTTCATTGACGACAGTTAAACGGTTTAAGAAGCCAACAATTTTATTGTACATGCAATAAAGATGCCCAGTCATATGTGGAGTAAAATGTATTTTCAATGTTTAATCAGCAGTATGAAGCTCATTGGACTTTAAATGTAAGAATGCCTATTTATTATCACCATGATAGATTTATTATTCATTCAACCTTTATTTAGACAGGTTAATCTCATTGAGCCTCGGGGACTCATTTACAAGAGAGACCTGAGCAAAATAGCAACAAATGGGCAAAACATCCAAGGGGATGAATCCTTTTGTATACACTTTGTATCATACATGTATTCTGCAAACAATTTTTCTTATGAGCAATAAAGCACCATCATTGCATTTGTTAAAAACATTTTCTCCTGTAATTTGTCACACAGCTTTAAAACAAACATGCAAACTGCCCATCAAAACATGAAGCTCAGTCAGAAACTGTGCAACAAATATATATTTAAAAAAAACTGTGGCAGTCAGTTGGATTTTGGCAAAACAAGCAAGAGAAATTAGTCATTGTTGCAGCTCATATTTCACAGAGAAAGTAAGACTTTTCATGTCTAAAATGGCACTTTGATAACTTTTATAGTTTAAGTTTATGTTATTGGGAGATTTTTCCATGGAATGTTCAAATGACAGTTGATCGTGTCACAAACTAACATTTGAAATAAGTAAAAATTGCACAACTTTTGCAAACAAACAATTCTTACTCTGAGAACCTTTTCAACCATCCCATCTTATTTCACTTCAGGTGTGACTAAAGCTGAAGATTGGTCCTTGGTACGTGCAGCTCCTGCACCCTGGGCAGAGTTTGAGTTTGAGAACATCATCCTCACTGTGCCATCACATGTTATCCATGAACTGGAGTCCCCAGTCAAGGTGGAAAAACTCTGGAATGACATAATGAGGGGTGTTGCAGATCTGGCTGCCATACCACACAAATTCATTCGGAAAGAACGCATTGTTGCTGATGTGCAAATTTCTGCAGGTAAGATTACTTTTTAAACTGTTCTCAAGGACATTTTTGTATATTTATTACAAGAAAAAAGGTTTGTATCCAGGAAATTCAGAAAATACAAAATAATAAGGAAATATTTTTAGATAGTTATCAGACACTTTATTCCATCTCTAACAAAATAGTCTAACCCTTTCACATAAAGGCAAAACGTATATAAGAAAAGAGAAAGCAAGACTTCTGCAGTCCAAAATTTCCATTAGAAGAAAATACAATTTCTATAGACTTTAGTACCATTGTTTCATTCTGCAAAGGCAAAGCAGAAGGTGTATGGAGAGTTGTACATAAGGTTGAACACTGAGGAGGGACATTATGACTTGTACTGACTAGAAAGACCCGAGGAATCTGGCTGAAAAGAATGTGCAGCAGATCAGGCTTGTCAAAGTTAAAAATGAACTTGTTCTAACAAGTGAGGAGAGCATGATGGAAAGATGAAAAGAGCTGATGGATGAAGAGAATGAAGGTGAATGAAGAGTAAAGGTTATAGAAGCTGTGGACTAAGAAGTAGAAAAGATTAGTGAGGTGAAGTTTGGAAAGCTTTGAAGGAGATGAAGATGAAGCAGAAGGCAGTTAGATCTGATAATTTACTAAGGGAGGTTTGGAAATGTCTGATAGAGGTGTCAGTAAGATGTCTGACTACATTAATCAGTGGCATTTATGAGAGTCAGAAAATGAAAAAGGAATGAATAAGTGTGCAGGTGACCATTTTTAAGAACAAGGATGATGTACAGAGTTGTAGCAAATACAGGGGAGTTAAGTTGATGAGTCGCACAATGACGACCTTGGAAAGAGTTGTAGAAGCTAGACTTAGAAGAGATGTGAAAATTTGTGAGCAGCAGTATGGTTTCATGCCAAGAAAGAGCACCACAGATGCCGACTTTGATTTGTGGATGCCAATGGAGTACCAGTAGTACAGAGAGGATCAGAAAGAACTCCATTGTGTCTTTGTAGATTTAGAAAAAGCATACAACAGAGTGCCGAGGGAGGAGGTGTGGAATTGCATGAGGAAATCTGGAGGGGCAGAGGAGTATGTAAGACTGGCACAGGGCATGTATGAGGACAGCAGGACAGTGGTGAGATGTTCTGTAGGAGTGACTGATAGCTTCAAGATGGAGGTGGGATTGCATCAAGGATGAGCCCCTTCTTCTTTGATCTGGTGATGGACTGATGAACAAATGAGATCAGGCAGGAATCCCTGTGGATGATGATGTTTGCAGATGACATTGTGATCTGTGGTGAGAACAGGAAACAGGTGGAAGAGAACTTAGAGAGGTGGAGGTATGCACTTGAAAGAATAAGGAAAGTCATCCATTGTAAGACAAAGTACATGTGTGTGAATGAGTTGGAGACAGGTGGAACAGTGAGGCTACGAATAGCAGAAGTCACAAAGATGCAAAACTTCAAGTACTTGGGGTCAAATGTTCAGGAATATGGGGAATGTGGTAAATATGTGAATAAAAGAGTCCATGCAGGTTGAAGTGGATGGGGAACATTTTCAGGAGTGATTTGTAACAAAAGGGTGTCAGCAAAGGTCAAAGGAAAAGTTTACAAGACGGTGGTGAAACCAGCTATGTTGTATGGTCTGGAGACAGTGACACTGACAAAAAGACAGGAGAAAGAACTGGAAGTGGCAGAAATGAAGATGTTGAGATTCTCCTTAGAGGTATAACACAGGTTGAACAACAGGGAGATAAAGTTAGAGAGGCCAGACTGAAATGGTTTGGACATGTCAAGAGGAGGGACCGTGGGTATACAGTGAACCCTCGCTATAACACGGTTCACCTTTCACAGTCTCGCTGCTTCACGGATTTGCATCGTGAATTGTGTTCTGCATTCTGATTGGCTAAACAGTCTCTCCGCTTCTTCTCTACCTGTGTGTCAATCTCCCTTTCTAATCCAATGACTCGGGTCGCGGTGGGGCGGTGCTGATCTCCGCAATTTGAAGCCTTCAGTTCGTATTGATGATTAAAATTATTACAAAGTATTTTACAGTACAGTTGCTAATTGTAAAAAACGTTTATACAGTACTTTTATTTGTTAAACAAATGCTTGCGCCTGTAAAAAGGTTTTGTTCTTTGGTTTGAATGTATTATGGAGTATTTCATTGTATAATAATTGTAAAAACAACAAAGGTTACTACTTCACGGATTTCGCCTATCACGGGTTCTTTTTGGAACGTAACCCCCGTGAAAAAAGAGGGTTCACTGTATTGGTAGAAGCATGTTAGAAATACAGCTGCCAGGAAAAAAAACAAAGATGAGATATATGTATGCAGTTGGAAAGGACATGGAGGTAAATAGAGTGATGAGAGTGAGGACAAATTATAGAGTGAAATGGAGGAGAATGACTCACTGTGGAGACGGCTGAAGATGAAATGGAGGAGGGAAAAAAAGATTCAGACAGGATTGTTGATTGAACAACATTTTCTCATTTTAGGTTGGATGCATTCAGGCTATCCAGTTATGATGCATTCCTCTGAAGCACCAATGCTGTTCAATTAAAAAAATGCCAGGACCACAGGTCTATGGGGAGAAATTCATGAGCTGGGACACAACCAACAGAGAAGCTGCTGGGAGCTTCCACCTCACACCACAGAGGCCACATGCAACCTGTGGTCAGTGTATGTGAGTGAAGAGGTGCTCGGAGTCAACAGATCAAAGGTGGGTTGTGCCCGCAGGGAATATCCGTGCAAAGCTGAAGGCTCCAGTATACAGTGGTGGGATGTAACTAAGTACAAGTACTTCGTTACTGTACTTAAGTACACTTTTCATGAATCTGTACATTACTTAAGTAGAGTTAAACATGGGTACTTTTTACTTTTACTCCACTACATTTTAGATTAAGTATATGTACTTTCTACTACACTACATTTCTATAATGCGTTGTGTTACAAATTACATTCACGTTGCAACTTTTTTATTTGTTCGTTAATTTGAAAGTAACCAATGGCGAGAGGGGAGTTGGTCCATTGAATCAATGCAAAATGGGCAGGTAACGTTAGACCCACCTTCAAGAAGAGCTATATTCTATTATATACATCACTGAGCTGGGTGCACCCACAGCACCGCTAACACACCCAAAATGAATTCCACCGAGGAAAGTCAGCCAGAAGATACAGTACGTGCCACCCATGACCTTATTGAAAGACTATTGAAAGTCTATAGAAAGACTATTGAAATACTACTGAAAGATTATTCAGTACAGCAGGACAGATTCTCTCTCCCAAAAGAGCCAGACTGGACTTAAAAAACTTTGAAAACCAACTTCTTCTGATCTTGAAGAAGAAATTATTGCTTCAATATTAAAATGTGTCAATTCATGGGATGTTAGAACAGGAGACGAGAGATGTCTCCAAATGACTTCACACTCGGGTCCAAGTTTTGAAAATGGTGTCAGTAAGTTAAAATATTGTTCACTATTGACCCATTACAAGGTTGACTAGACAGTATTTTTACTAGAGTTGATGACACACTGGAGTTGAAATGATCGGTGCCTATTTCTTTGTTAGTTGTGTCTAATGTTCCTTTTTTCATCAGACAACTTTTACTTAATTGTGTTTATTGCCGTTAAAATGACACATTGGTTTTGATTTGTGTTAAATAAAAACTTTTAAAGGTAAAATCCTTTCTCTTTCTTATTTTGCTTAATGACATTTAACTGTGCATGCCATCCCTGAAATTCTGACGCAGAATCACAAGTTCAAGTGTGAACTGCGTCACAATAAAAACATGTATTATCTGCAGCATTGTTCATTAAAATGGCTCAACACTATTAATGTACTACAGAAAATGATATACATACGGTAGGCAGACTTAAAGATATGTAGACCATTGCATTAGGTAATACATTCAGCAAGTACTTTTACTTTTAATACTTTAAGTATTTTTAAAAGCAAGTACTTATTTACTTTTACTTAAGTAAAAACGTTAATGTGGTACTTCTACTTTTACTAGAGTACATTTTTGTCTGTTTATTTGTACTTTTACTTAAGTACAGTGTATGAGTACTTCTGCCTTTAGGGATGAGACCTTGTCTGGTGATGACAGGACTGTCTCTAAGAACTACTCTGAACGGAGGGGGTCGGGCTGCAAGTTGTAGCGTGTCACCCCTGCTATCAGCTTGGTCATCCATCTGTCTGGCGAGCAAGCTCGCAGCCACTCCGTGTAATGTTTGTGGAGTGGGCACACGTTTAGGTGGTGCGTCATTTTTTTACATTTGGGCCCTCCAACAAAAAAAAACTTTCTGCAGCTCCTCCGAGAGGGAGGTGGAGTGACGGGCCAGGTGGACCTCTGGAAAACCTCGTCCTCCGGCTGCGATGCGAGACCGGCAGACAACAAAAGAGGTGCACAGGTTGAGGATGATGTCAGCTGCCTTGCAGAGGGAGCGCTACGTCTCCTCCAGCCTCTTGAATGTTGTACGCCAGCAGCGTAACGTATTGTTCGCTGCGGCCGCCTGGAACGCACACTGGTGAGCTCGGTTGGAGAGTGACGTCACTGTCTGGTTATGCTTACCCGGAGGCACAGGATGCTGGTCCAACCTGGACATCTTGGTTCTGAAAGCCTCCACCAGGCTTGGCTCCAGGGGGGCCCCGAGGGAATTTCCACTCGGTGAAACCCCTCCACTCTGGTGATGGGCGCGAATGTGGGAACCGGCGCCCTTATTCTACCAGGAACCGTCTGCGGCCTTGTCCCAGTAGGACGTCGCTGCTAGGAAACGAGGCCAGATGGGATCAGAACGGCGAGACGGAATGGAGCCCAGAAACCTTCCCGCTAGATCATCCAATCTAGGCGGTGGAAGGAGAAGGACAGAAAAAAGTCCCTTCATGTCAAGCGCCTCCTGGATTATGCCGGGCAGCTCTAGAGGAGGGCACCGACGGCTTGGAGCGGTGTGGTCGCTGATGCAAAAAAAAGGTCCGGGGGAGGTGGGAATTTGCTCAGCCCCCCCCCCCCCTCGTTCCGACACTACGCTCTCAAGGAGGGAGTGAGCAGCGGGGGGCTGCTGCTGACGTCTCCTGTCCCAGAGGAACCATCCGATTCGCTCTGAGAGTTGTCGATAAAGGAAAATTACAAGATGGCGTCGTCCAGCGTGTAGCGACTTGCCACTAAGAAATACTCCTTGGCGCTTACCTTGAAACAAGACTGCTTGTCTGCTACTCCTGGGGGAGGAGAACTCACCAGGACGGCAGGAGGTTGACGTGGCGGGGCCAAAGGCAGTCTTAACAAAGGTTGGTCAAGCTAGACAACTTTCCTTCTTCGTTCTTCTGACAGTGCTATTAGCTTGCTGAAGAAAAATGGGAGCCGATTACCTGCTCTTAACGTAATTTATACGGACCGGGTGGGGCCCACACAGCAGGTGGACGTGGACTAAATTTTTTATTGCAATGCTTCGCATGACGGGATAAAACCCACTAAGCACTAAGCGACAGTTCTTAAAGGGCGAAGCCTATATGACATAGAACAGTAATATTTAAAGTTTTTATTAATTAACAGCTGCTATTGGAGGTCAAAGTCCCAGGGCCGGGCCACTCTGGAGAGACAGGAGAGTTAGTGAGCAGCACTTCTCTGACAGTGATCTGACAGATACTGATAGGCACCAACCTTCACTACAGGTGAGGGAGGAGCTCTTTGAGGGAGTTGAAGAGGATGACGTCACCGGTGGTGAAGACAGGTCGGCTTTGAGGCAGAGCAGAGCAGAGCAGTGCGTAGTTTTAAGGGAGATCCAAAAGGGAGGTCCAGAGAAACAGGCAAGGGTCAAACACAGGTGGTCAGAGGTCCTGGGCAAAATCTGAAATGTAATTCAAGAGACGTGGTCATGGTAGTGGAAGCAGGAGTTGATACTGTAGGCAGAGAAGATAATCCAAACTAGATAAGAAGCGGGCAAGGCGAGGAATCCATGAGACTGACGTGAGGTCAAAACCAGGAAAACAAACAAGGCTGTGGCATGAACGCTGGACACTGACCCAAAGGATTTCAATAATATGGCACTGAATGGTTGTGAACGTGGATCTTAAATACTGGGGAGAACAGGTGAGCAGCATGAGAGCTGATCGCATTAACGAGGCAGAGTGGGCGTGATGCAGGGGGACAGGAGCATACATGAACAATGACAGAAGCTGAGAGGTAAACAAAACATGAAGGCAGTAACTATGGCAGGAGGGCCAGAAAACATGAGACTAACACATACGTATGCTTGGATATAATTTATTTACAGTTTAAATAACAATTATGATTGTTATCAGCCTCATTTAGTCATACTTATTCACTAACAATTCACAACAAGTGGTATGCTGATGTCCCTCGTTGCTGAGGGATTTGAATAGTGAATGTATGTAGTTTTACAAACAAGTGTTTTCTTGACTTGAATTGTTGAACAGGCAATACAGGTAAACCTTAATATTTTAGCGCAATATATTTAATTGGGTAGTATTTACACTGTGTTGAAGAAGTGAGGTTGGTTTTAATTGTTTTTCTTTTTGTTGGAGGTAGCACGGAGTGACAGACCCTGACAAGAGGAGGGAGCAATTTTATCCACCACCAGGTGCAGCGGTGGAGCCAGGGGGTCTTAAGCCTGCTCTTAAATGTGGCCAGGGTGTTAACCTCATGAACAGAAACTTGAAGTTGGTTCCACAAAAAAAAAAGCCTTATAAATTAATGACCTACCTCCCGTTATCCTTTTATAAAGTATAGAAACTACAAGTAAACCTGCAGTTTGAGACAAAATACTCAAAAATATATGAAGCAATAAGACATTTGATATAAAATAGAGCTTAACTGTTGAGAGTTCTGTATGTTAGAAGTAAGATTTTTGTAATATTGTGAAGTTGTTGCCTTTTTAAAAGCCCAGATTTCCTGTACTGCAGGCTCATGGATCACTGACCCCAGAATCTCGTAGACACTGTATAAACAAGTACGTTCAGGGAGGCAAGAAGCTCAGTGATTGGAATGTTTGGACTGCCCTGGAAACATACCTGCAGGTAAGAAAAACTTATACGAAAATGTTCTGCAGAAAGTATGAACTCTGTTGCACCAGAGCCTGCATTTTAATAGAAGTGCAACATCACACTGGCTCATCACCTCATCAATGTTCTGTTTAAATTTAATTGTACTTGACATAGCTTTCTATGCTAATTTTGAGTGGTCGTAATTTTGGCTAACTTAGCAGTTGTGAGTTATTTTACACTCCAACCTAAATGAACCCATTATTAAACACTTTACAGGCAACAAAAACTACCTGTCAGGATTATTTCTGTCCTAGGATATGTCAACACATTATTAGATAGATACTGTATATACTTTATTGTCCCCAAGGGGAGATTTTTCTTGGATATAGAGCACTAAACAAAGCTTCTTCCACAACCAAATACACTACAAACAATAAAATCATGTGAACACCACAATAAAATAAAAAAACCAACACCTATTGTTCAGTAAAAACACATATTACTCAATAAAAACTCAATAAAAACGCATATTGCACAGTCCCACATACATTAAAACAAGTAAACGACAAAAAAAAAAAAAGACCAGATCATCAGCAGCATGACAAAAGACTATATGCCTACTTTATTTAACAATCTGATTGATGTAGGGACAAATACAGTTTTAATTCTGTTATGTCTACAAGCTGGGATTCTAAATCGTTTGCCAGATGGTAACAGTTCGTATTCTGTGTTGAGGATGTGGGCGGGGTCAGAGAGTACCCTCCGAGCAAGTCTGAGGACAGACTCATCATAGACAGACTGCAGGGAGGGGTGATCAGTCCTTCCTATCACCTTCAATGTTGTTTGTACCATGCGACTAACTTTAGATTTAAGTTGCACAGAGAGATAACCATACCACACTGACATTCCAAACCGGATGATGCTTTCTAATACGGACTGACAGAATAAAACCATAAGCTTCTAGTTAACCCCAAAGACTCTGACAATCTCTGTTGTAGATGGGAGCACAACATCCATCCATCCATCCATTTTCTTTACCCGCTTATTCCATTTTGGGTCACGGGGGTCGCTGGTGCCCATGTCCAGCAATCACTGTGCGAGGGGCGGGGTACACCCTGGACGGGTCGCAAGTCCATCACAGGGCCACATAGAGACAAACGACACAAACAAACATTCAGTCTCTCACTCAAACCTAGGGACAATTTAGAGTTACCAATCAGCCTAACATGCATGTTTTTAGTCTGTGGGAGGAAACCGGAGTACCCGGAGAAAACCCACGCATGCACGGAGAGAACATGCAAACTCCACCCAGAAAGGCCCCTGGACCGGGGTTTGAACCAAGGACCTGCTCGCTGAGAGGCAGCAGCTCTACCAGTTGCGCCACCGTGCTGCCGGGAGCACAACATATTAACATTAATTTCCCACTTGAACAGATTGTCTAGGTGAACACCCAGATATATGTAAGAACATATCTGGTTTATTTTCTGGTCATGAATAAAAAACAGGAGATTGTCACTTAGAGACCTGGAGTCAGTCAACATCTCTTCTGTTTTTCTGGCATTAATAACAAAGTGGTGGTCATCGCACCTCGTTAAAGTATGATGAGGAGTCCATACCCTCATGCAGCAAGCTGAGAATAGCAGTATCATCAGATAATTTAAAAACATGATTCCCAGGGCAACTGCTGATGCAATCATTTGTGTGAATGGTGAAGAGGACAGAAGAGGTAACACAACCTTGGGGAACTCCAGTACTGATGGACCTTGGCTCTGATAAGGTGTTATTGACTCTGACAAGCTGTGATCTATTTGTTAAGAAAAAATAATAAGAAGAGGATTAAGATTCATCTGCTGAACAGAAGTTCCTCACTACTTCGCAATTCGTTTATCACGGATTCGCTATATCGCGTTTTTTTTTAAGTAAGATTGGACATGACGCAATTGGCTGATTGATGGATGAGCCATGGATTGTTTTTTTTAAATAAACAATTTTAAACGATTTTGCACCATGTGTAAAGTCCACAAGTGCAAGAGAAAGTTTCCTCCTGCAGCTGATCAGCTGATTTCCCTCTCTGCCACACACATTTTTCCTGCTGCAGCTTTGTGAAGGGTTAACCCTTTGCTGTCCAGATGCACCAGTCAGCTTTTGTCTTCCAACTTAAAATTCAAAGTATGTCACATTGTAAAATCATCATCACAAAATATACAAGTGTTAAGTTATTTTAAATTATTTTAGAACTTCTATGTTCAGTCGTTTCAGTGTAATTGATCAAGAAGTATATTTCTGCTCCTTGCTGCAGAGCTGAAACTGTGTGTCATTCCTTTGATGTCCTGCTGCACGTCCCTTCTTTACAATTTAAATTTAAATACTGTAATATTTTAAATAAACAATCCATGCTGCATGGATTGTTTATTTAAAATGTTACAGTATTTAAATTTAAATTGTTTATTTGAGGAGGGAGATTGGGAGTAACAGGTGATGAGTGTGGTTACAGCCTGGCACATGTCATGACAAAGTTTACTGAACTTGAACTTGGACTAATGTATCCCTACTTCGCGGTTGTTCACTTATCGCAGGTGGGCGTGGTCCCTAACACATGTGATAAACAAGGGACTACTGTAATTTATTATGAAGTAGATGAGGCTGTAGGGTATTAAAAGCAGAACTAAAATCTATCAAGAGAAGACGGGCATAGGCCTTTGGGTTTTCAAGATGTTTAAGAGTTGGGTGTGTGATGCCATTAATGGCATCATCTGTACCCCGTCCCTGTCTATAAGCGAACTGGAAAGGATCAAGACCAGGGTTTATCTCTGATTTCAAGAGGGACAGAACATATTTCTCAAAACACTTCATTGCTATTGATGTTAGTGCCATTGGTCTGTAATCATTATTATCAGATGGACTTGATTTCTTGGGGACTGGAATGATAATTGACCTTTTCCAAAAAAGATCCTGCAAGTCACATGTTGAGGTCTGACAAGAACAAGATCATTGAAAAAACAGTCTGTTCCTTGTGTTTTGATCTCCTCAGTCCTCATTTTACATCCAACTATAGTCCAAATTAAAGCAGTCATTACTTTAACATGTGTAGTAGATATTTGTCACAGTGTTTGTTTCTGTCCTTGTAGCTCCAGGAAAAGTTTGGTTGGGATGCCTTTAAGAAGGTGCTTGCTGCCTACCACAACATGAGCAACTTTCCCAGTGACAAGAACGGAAAGATGAACATGTACGCTGAGACGTTCGCTCAAACTGTGAACATGGATCTGACCGGATTCTTCAAAACCTGGGGATGGCCCATTGAAACAGCCACTGAGGAGAAACTGTCCAGTCTGCCTCCCTGGTCTGATCACCCCATGGCCCAGTATTCCTAAAACCCAGACTGGATCTGTTCCTGAAAAGAAAGTGATCCAGAGTTAGTTAACATTGATTTGGTTTTGTTTTTGTTACTGTGGAAAAAATAAAATACTTGGCAGATAAAACAATTTTAATCCATATACAGTATGCCTTTCATTAATACTGACCTTCTTGGTGCGTGTAATGTATGAAATTATTAACATAATCAAATATTTCTGAGACATGAAAGAAAAGGACAGCTGAACAAAAACTTTTTTTTTTAACAACCACAATGGTCTGAGAAATTAATTTGAATAAAGTATAATTACTGTGTGAAATTTTGAAAAAATTGAAATAACGAAGATGATTTTTGTCATCATTTGTAATTAACGTTTCTGTTCCTGAAAGTTCTGATTGTACTAATAGCAACATTTACTGTGACTGTTCACATCTTTATGTATGGTGACTCCATAATAAAATTGGATAATATGAATAACTTTTTCATTATTATTTATAGTAAAGTCACTTAAATAAATAAATAAAATAACTGTGTGCCAAAATTATATTATTGTTTGATCTCTTTCATGCAGTTATTGGACCTTTTGATTATTTGTATAGTTAAGCTTTAGTTATTTTTACCCAAAATCATTTAAGTGGGTCTTGTAGTGAGAGAACAGATACAGATGTGTTCCATTAGTGCAGAAAATATATCTGCCATTTAAAACTAAAATATAAAATTGTAGATGGCAAATTGAAATGTTGGTATCAGCAGGTGGAGCCAAATTAGGTGGTGCTCTATGTGGCCCTGTGATGGACTTGCGACCTGTACAGGGTGTACCCCGCCCCTGGCACAGTGATTGCTGGACATGGGCACCAGCGACCCCCGTGACCCAAAATGGAATAAGCGGGTAAAGATAATGGATGGATGGATGGAACAACAACCGCAACATGACCAACACAGTGTGATGCACACAGACTCAGCACAGATCACACAGTGCAGAAAGCCAGGGAATAGAAGTGTGTTTTTAAGCGAGATTTAAAAACTGTGAGGGAGGGGGCCTGTCTAACTAGCAGAGGTAACTCATTCCAAAGTCTTGGGCCTGCTACAGAGAAGGCCCTGTCACCTCTGCGCTTGAGCTACTGGTCTGCTGATCTGAGAGAACGTGGTGGGACATACGGCTGGAGCAGATCAGTAAGATAGGAGGGGGCAGAGCTGTTTAGTGATTTATAGACATATAAGAGTATTTTGAATTTGATTCCAAGGTGAACCGGAAGCCAGTGTAGGGAGGCCAAAACAGGTGTAATGTGCTCTCTTTTGCTTGTGCTGGTCAAAAACCGGGCTGCTGCATTTTGGACCAGTTGGAGTCTAGCTATGGAGGTCTGACTGATACCAAAAAGGAGTGAGTTGCAATAGTCGAGCCTGGATGTAATGAATGCATGAATTACTGTCTCCAGGTTATTTTTGGACAATATGGGCTTCAGCTTAGACAGTCGCCTCAGCTGGAAAAAGCAGGATTTAACAATCATATTTACATGATTGTTGAGTTTCAGAGAAGGGTCAAGTATCACTCCTAGATTAGTGACTCTTTGTTTCACTAACGGTGACAGAACGGATAGGTCGATGCAGTGGTTGGTGATTGTGTCATTGGGAGGAAACAGCATAACTTCAGATTTTTTCTGGTTGAAACTCAAGAAATTTAAAGCCATCCAATCTCTGATGTCAGCCAGGCAGTCCAGTAACGGTTGAATAGAGCGAGTACCGTTGAGTCTGAGGGGGAAGTAGATTTGGCAGTCGTCAGCGTAGAAATGAAAAGGTATGTTATGTTTCCTGAAAATAGCACCTAGTGGCAGCAGGTATAAAGAAGATAAAAGAGGACCAAGGATGGACCCTTGCGGTACCCCCCATTTAAGCGCTGCCGAGGCTGAACTAAAATCTTTGATGGAGACACAAAAGGACCTGTCAGCGAGGTAAGATCTAAACCATTCGAGGGCTGACCCAGTGATGCCCACCCACTGCTCTAACCTCGCAATGAGGATCTCGTGGTCAATTGTATCAAAGGCAGATGTGAGGTCCAGTAAGAGAAGGAGCACAGAATCACCAGCGTCTGTGAATAGGAGAATGTCGTTAAAAACCTTGAGTAGAGCAGTTTCAGTGCTGTGGAGAGGTTTAAAGCCAGACTGGAATAGCTCTAAGATAGCATTATCCTCTAGAAAGCATTTCAGCTGGGACTCCACTATTTTTTCCAGCAGTTTAGCGACAAATGGGAGTCTGGAGACAGGCCGGAAGTTGGACATACTGAGGGGTCAAGGCTAGGTTTTTTTTCAGGAGAGGTTGGACAGCAGCATGTTTAAAAGTTATTGGCACCACACCTGAGGCTAAGATGCTGTTCACAATGCCAAGAACAGGAGGGCCCAGAACAGGAAGAAGCTCCTTAAGGAGTCGAGGGGGGACAACGTCAAAAGGGGAGCCAGATGGCTTCATGCCGCACAAGACCTGCTCCAGGGAAGACAGAGAGATGGGCTCAAAGTGGTCCAGAACAGCAACACAATGAGATGGGATGGACGGATCATGAGCAGGTGGAGAAATGAGTGCCCGGGTGTTTGCAACTTTTTCAGAAAAGAAATGGAGGAAATTTTCACACAGCTCAGTTGATGCTTCTAGAGGTGAAGGTTCACTGAGGTGTAGAACTGAGTTCAGGGTGGAAAAAAGGGCTCGAGGGTTGTGGGAGTTTGAGGAAATTATTGCAGAAAAGAACTTCGATTTGGCGGCTTTAACTGCCTTCTGATAATGACGCCAACTCTCCTTTAGGATTTGAAAAGAAACCTGCAGCCTGTCTTTCCTCCACCTGCGTTCTGCTCTCCTACACCGCTGTCTAACGGCTTGAGTGACGTCATTAAGCCATGGTTCTGATAAAAGTTTTGTTTTCCTGGTTTTAATGGGAGCAAGATGGTCCAGAATATTTAAGCAAACAGAGTTAAGCTGAGAGGTTAGCTCCTCGGTGGAGAGAGACACTGAGAGCTGATCGATCCTCTCAGAGCTAAAAGCTTCAGTAAAACGTGCAGCAGTGAAACAGTTAATGGCGCGTGAAGTACGTGCAAAATCACATGACTTAGCAGTAGGACAAGGCGGGATGATATCAAACAAGACAGGCATGTGGTCTGAGAGAACGTTGTCACCGATTACCAAATTACAAACAGAGACATCACGAGTTAAAATGAGATCCAGAGTGTGACCGTGTTGTTGGGTGGGAGCATTTACATGTTGAGTTAAATTAAATGAGTCCAACAAATCAAGGAAGTCCTTCACTAACGGCTTCTCCTGACAACAGACGTGAATATTAAAGTCACCAACGATAATAAAGTGATCATATCTTGGTGTGATGTAAGCCAGAAAATCAGAGAATTCACTTATGAAGTCCTTGGAACGAGGGGGGCGATAAACAATCACACACAGAACGGGAGGGGAATGTCCGAGTTCAAAAGCACTCAGCTCAAAACTGGAGCAGGGCATGAGGGTGGACAACTGTTTACAAGAAAAGTTTGATTTAAATACAGTTAATATTCCACCACCCCGCCGACCTGATGGCCACGGGGCATTAAAACACAGACAGTCAGGAGGTAAAAGTTCCACCAAGGCGCTTGAATCACCCAAAGGCAACCAGGATTCAGTGAGAAAAAGAAAATCTAGTCCCTCGTCTTTAAAAAAGTCATTTAGAATAAAAGTCTTGTTGGCAACAGACCTTGTGTTGATGAGGCACGTCCTGATCTGGTCCGACACAGAACCAGCCATGGTGGGGGTGGTGCGCGCCAACGGTTGCAGATTTTCAAAAACAGCGCCTCCAGGACGGTCCAAGCGCCGGGCCGGTAGACAACACCCATATTTTCCCTGGTCCGGGCACGTAGGAAGCTGGCTGTGGAAACGTTGACCACGCAGAGCTTTGAGTTTTACCAGCCGGCCGGCACGTTAACCCTGGCATCTGGATCGATATCACCAAGAAAGCAGGCTTGGGGCCCAGCGTAAACAAGCAGGCACGTCTGCCAGAAGGGGTGGAAGAGGGGGGGGTCCCGAGTCACGATCAAAATGGTCCGAATCAGCGACAGCAGAAACAGACAATCGAAGATCGAGGAGCTGTTGTCGGTCATACACAAGCAGCGAGTTGATATCCCAGACAAAAAACGAAAATAGCAGAAATAATCCAAACAGTATCGTCAGAGGTAGATTGCAGGCCATGTACACGGACACAATCTTCAATGTTTCAATGCTTCAATTTTTGTATGTATGTGTATATATATATATATATATATATATATATATATATATATATGTGTGTGTGTGTGTGTGTGTGTGTGTGTGTGTGTGTGTGTGTGTGTATGTGTGTGTGTGTGTACACACTGCCTGGCCAAAAAAAAGTTGTCACCAAGCAAAAGGTCACACTAATATTTTGTTGGACCGCCTTTAGATTACGACACGCTTCCTCTGTGGCGTTGTTTCAATAAACTTCTGCAATGTCACAAGATCTATTTCCGTCTAGTGTTGCATTCATTTTTCACCAAGATCTTGCATTTATGACCAGGCACTAGGCATGGTAAGTGCATCACTTCACCTTCCTCTCTTCTTACCCTGATGCACCCATCACTCTGGAACAGGATAAATCTGGACTCATCAGACCACATGACCCTCTTCCATTGCTCCAGAGTCCAATCTTTATGCTCCCTAGCAAATTGAAACCTTTTTTTCTGGTTAGTCTCACTGATTAGTGGTTTTCTTAAGGCTACACAGCTGTTCAGTCCCAATTCCTTGAGTTCCCTTTGTAATGTGCATGTGGAAATGCTCTAACTGTCGCTATTAAACATAGCCCTGAATGCTACTGGGGTTTTTTTTGTTTTGTTTTGTTTTGTTTCTCGATTTGAGTTCACCAAAAGTTTAAGTGATCACTGATCACGATCATTCAGGATTTTTTTCCGGCCACATTTCTTCCTCTATCCTTCCACTTTTTAATAATGTGTTGGACAGTTCTTAACCCAATTTTAGTAGTTTTTACAATCTCCTCAG